CATTATAATTATCATCAGCATCATCATCATCATCATCATCATGACTGAAATCAACATTATTCTCATACTACTATCATCATCATCATCAAACTGGTATCATTATCATCATGATATGACATTTAAATCATCCTCATCACTACCCAGACATTTTCATCATGACATTGACATAATCTTCTTCATAGTTATCCTCATCATACTATCACCAATTCCATCAACAAGACACTAAAATCATCATCATCATCATCATCATCATCATCTTTATCATCATCATCATCATCATCATCATCATCATCATAATCTTCATCATCGTCATAATCACACTGAATTCATCATTATCGTACTCATGCAATCTTCAACCTCTTACTGATATCATCTTCATTGTATAATAATAAAATCATATTCATCGTGATACAAAGTACGTATTTGTAGTTATCATATTGATGTCATCATCATCATCATAATAAACAAAAATACCAATTCTATTCACATGTGAGTGTTAATTTGCTAAAGCATATCATATCATCTCTCTCACACCTTTCATACTTTCTTTTGAATTACATTTTTACATTTTTTAAATGTTTTCTGATGTTCAGATGTATTATAGAACGAAGAGGGAAAAGTAAAGAAAGGGAACTTTAATTTGATACAGTCAATTAAAGAAATATCTTCAGCCATTTCTATTCACGAATGGCGTGCCGGCCATTACACCTTCAACATAATGTGTTGGAACATTGAAGGTGTAATGGCCGGCACGCCATACCTTCTAAAATGCCTTGAAGAACATAATATTGATATATGTGGTCTGTCCGAACATTGGGTAAGAGAATATAACTTTTCATTTTTTGATACTTTTTCTCATTGCGGCTACTCAAGTATAGTAAAACCTGTCCCTGAGATAGACACATTCCGCTATAAATGCAACATTAGAGGTGGTGTTTGTATTCTTTACAAATCTTGTCTAAATGTTCAAGAGATTGTTACCGATAGTCCTCGGATTGTAGGTGCTGAAATTCAAGAGTCTGATAGTAACTATATTTTTGTCTTTTCTGCATACATGCCAGCATCATCAAGGCACTTCGATGTTTTTAAGGAAACCCTAGACATATTAGAATCTCTTGTGGCCGTGTACTCGGAGAAAGGGAAGGTTATCATCATAGGTGATTTAAATGTAAAAAATAGTGGTCCACGTTATCATTTCTTACATAATGCAAGATCAGCTTTGTTCAAGATGTTTTTAAAGAGAAATAATTTACTCTCGGTAAACGTACAGACTGAATGTAAAGGTCCTAAATATACATTTTGCCCTGTTACTTGGAACTGTACAATGATTGACCATATCCTTGTCGAATGTAGGATAGTAGATTTAATAGAATGGTCTGAAGTCCTGGATGAATGTGAAGTTAATACTTCAGAACACCTTCCTGTTTTGTGTTCTGTGGGGACTCCTAAGATCCTATCCAAACGATGTAATGGTGAATTTGTGAGGTATAACTGACGTAAAGCTGTAAATAGTGGTCAAATACAAAGCTACCAATACATTGTCGAGTTTTACCTCAGTTCAGTAGCTTTTCCTCAAAATATCACCTCGACCCTAGAAATTGATACATATTATGAGGCTCTAAAATCTGTTTTGCTAAATGCATCAAAACGCTGCATTCAGAAATGTAAATTTAAGAGACATCTAAAACCATATTGGAATGATGTGTTGACAAATGTTCACCATCTAATGGTTAGTAAAAGGAAATTGAGGAAAGACAACGGCCAATGTAGAGGTAATGATGTTTATTTTTTAGACTATAAGTCATGTAAGAATGTTTTTAGAAAGAAGCTTAGAAATGCTTTTAACGAGTATATGAGACTTCAATTTGAAGAAATTGATCAATCAGGTAAAGTTGACCAAGTATTGTTCTGGCAACTGTACAAAAGTAAATCACATAAACCATAATTGAAACAACCAGAACTGACGTATGACGGTCGGGTCCTACGTGACCCAGAAGGAATAGTAAAGGCATGGGGTACTCATTTTTGTAAATTGTTCGAGAACGAACCTAACGAACTGTTCGATGTAGACTTTTTTAATCATGTTCAAGATGATTTACCGAACATGACAGAAAAAGCGAAAACTGATAAAGATGTTTTTCTAGAAAAAGAATTTACTTTTAAAGAGGTTTCTGAAATATGTAAAGGTCTTAAGACAAACAAGTCTGGTGGTCCGGACGGTCTTGTGTATGAGCATATTAAATACTGTAACAGTCTAATGATCAAACATATTACATTTTTGTTCAATCTCATTATTAAGTATGAATATATTCCTAAATCATGGAAACTTGGTACAATAATCAATCTGTATAAAGGTAATCGGAAACCAAAAGATGACCCAAACAACTATAGGGGTATAACATTAATTCCTGTGTTTTTCAAGATTTTTGAGACACTCTTGTCCGACCGTTTAAGTCCAGTCCTAGAATCATACACATTTCCGAACAGGCATCAATCAGCATATCGCAAAAAACTGTGTAGTTTATGTACCTCTTTTAATCTACAGGAAAGTGTAAACTATAACCTAGATAATGGATCTGATGTGCTTGTCGCTTTTCTTGATAGCAATAAAGCCTTCGATACTGTATGGCAAGATGGCCTATTCTATAAGCTTTACAATATGGGTATTAAAGGGAAAGTATGGAATATCATGAAACTAATGTATTCTCGATTTACCAGTAATGTTGTTTTTAATGGTCTCAAGTCGGACAATGTAATCATGAAACGGGGAATCTTACAAGGTGGGTCTTTATCCGCAAAACTGTATTTAGTCTTTATTAATGATTTGCTAAATGAAGTGGAATTTAGCGGGAAAGGGGCAATAGTTCTTTCCTCGCGAATAAATATACCTACACAAGCTGATGACATATGTATTATCAGCAATAACGTTAATAGTTTACAGTATCTACTATCTATTTGCGAGAAATACAGTAGAAAGTGGAGATTTACATTTTCCTCTACTAAATCTAAAACTGTTGTTTTTACTTCTAAAAAGAAACCCAATATTAATTGTGATATAACTGTATATGGAAAGAAACTACCAATTGTAGAAAGTATTACTCATGTCGGAGTTTTATTGAATAGTAGAAATAACAATGTCGAACGTACAGAACGTGCTTGTTCCAAATTAAAGAGTGGTGTTATGTCCTTAATTCGTTCTGGAGCACATCCATGTGCTCTGAATCCTTTAACCACTGCAAAAATTGTAAAGTGTAAAGTATATCCCTCAGCACTGTATGGGTGTGAATTGTGGCAATTAAAGCAAAATGAAATTTACATGTTAGAAAAAGCACAAAACTTCATTGTCAAATCAATCCAAGGTTTTAATGTAAGAACAAGAACAGATATGTGCACGTCCTTGATTGGTTGGTTTTCTGTAGAAGTATACATCAGCGTAAAGAAAATGTTATTTTTTGGTAGAATATGTTCCATGGAAGTTGGCTGTTTAACACGCGAAATTCTTATCAAGCGTCTATTCGAATTCAACCTGTCTCAATTTAGTAGAGGTTTTGTTCCCGACATTGTTAATGTTTTACAAAAATACAATTTGTATCATTTTATTGATGAATTTTTGAAGAGTGGTGTATTTCCAAACAAATGTCAATGGAAGCGTTTAGTCAATGACCATGTAAAAAACTATGAACAGTTTAACTTATGTGAAAGAATGAACGCTGATAGGGACTTCTCTCGCTTCACTCTTTTACATAATAAGATACAACCGTATGCTATATGGAAACTTGCTTTACGCTTTCCACAATACAGTCCATGTTTTAAGAAAATTGTTAAACTTTGTGTTGAAATGCGCGATAATGAAAATATATATTTGTGTCATTACTGTGGATCTATGTACAAAGATACTATTATGCATAGTGTACTCGAATGCTCACACACAGAGCTATTACGTGACCAGCTCTGGTGTGTACTCAGTACTGTAAAAGATATAGATTTTGTGTTTAATCTTAATGTAATGTCTAATTACCATCTACTTCATGTTCTTCTTGGTGGTATTTTCAATTATGACTTATCTCCATATGAACTGGAGGACTTTAGAATAAAATCCATTGTTATTATTACTAAAATTCTTCAATACAGTGGCATTATGTAATTTATCCTTAGATATTTGAATGTTGTATACTGAGTAATATGATCACTAATTTACTTGTGTGTACCTCACGCTTCAGCAAGATGAATACATGAAATACATATATTTTTGTATTCATATTAGTAGGCAAGCATTTCCTACGTCTTTCCTGTTGATTAGTGCAACTTACTACCATTCATAATATTGTTTGTATTGTATGAATTAATCTTGTGAGATGTATTACTACAACTGAAATCATTGTATGGTTGCGCTGTTTCTTCAAGTTAATTATTATATTGTATGTTGTGTATTTCACACCACTGTATGACTATGTTGTATGACTTCGTGCAACGGGTTCTACTCAATGTATGATTGTATTGTAAGACTTATGTAACAGTAATACTGTCTATAATAATGCTGTATAATTTATAGTGTGATGCTTGTAATACTGTTTATTACAATGTTGTATGATTGCTTAGTACGAGAAGTGTATTACTTTCTATACTATTATATGATAATGTAGTTTGAGGAGTGTAAATATGTCTATTATATCAATGTGTGATGTAATGTATGATTAGTGTTATACTGTCTATCATCATAATTATCACCATAATTATCACCGTATAATGACTGTAATAGTACCTATTAAATCATTGTGTTGTGTTTATAGTACTTTATGGTACTATTATTATTCTCTTATGTGTGTGACTGTCCATGTGCATGTGTGTGTCACTATGTAAGGGTGTGACCATGATTGTGAATGTATTTTCTTCTCTTTCAATAGTGTTGAATTGTACGTGTATTGTTCGTTATTTCTGTAACTCTTCATTTCTGGAGGAAATAAAGGAAATAATAATAATAATAATAATAATAATAATAATACAACTATGTGCGGGAGAAAATGAGATACAGTCTTCAGGAATAGTTAAGTATCCAAGGTTCTTAGGTTGGTTTTTCGAACCGTATTTTGTTATTGTTAATTAAATATTTGTTTCACTGAGGCAGGATTTTTAAACTGCCTTTTTTAATGAAGAACATGTCCGTTGTGATTTGATTTAAACTTTTTTTTATTTGCATCTATTATACAAAACAGATTGGGCACAAGTTGTCTAACTTATTTATACACAGTTTGGTAAATTTTAATTTGATTGATATTTTCAATTAAGTTTAGGTAGTGTTACACATGTGTAGCGCGCTACCGCTAAGTTACTCTATATGAGAAAAGTTTGTTGTGAGCCCTGATAAAAATGAACATTGAGTCTAGGGATCTAGACTGGCCTAAATACTGTAACAGTCTAATGATTAAGAAAAAACTAACTCTAATAATTTTGATCACTTGGATGTCTGATTCTAGTTCTAAACTAGGGGGAGATAAGCTAATAGTAAAATGCAGTCGAGAAATTCTTCATAAAAACTTAGGGGCTGCAGGTGGCCAGTCTACTAGGGATCCCTTGTTTGTTTGTTTGATGTTTTTTTTGTGTTTATTGAGTTTTCATAATTTGATGATTTCCATTAGGAATAAAAAATGATATCTCATCATGTTAACAGTGTTTATTTTGCGACTTGTGAAAGATTGTTTGACTTTGAAAGTTACGCCCCCTTGTAAATGTTTATAGAGGGCGCTTTGAAATGCGGGATTCCCCTACTCGTGGCGGTAAGTCCCGATCACCTGGCTGGCTGCCGTCAAACGTCAACGATGTGCACACTGCGGTCGGTGTTGACGATTTTCGTTGTTGGTGTCATTGCTTTCCTCATGCAGCATTATGAAGTCCATCTGTCATTTAAGAAGGGTAAATATTCAACTGAGCACAAAAATAAATGAATGACACCTATACCATCAGTTGACAGGGACACTCAGCTGGCTCGTCGTGATCAATACCGTTATAGTTTGCATGCACGTGTTTTTGTGCACTTTGGTGCTGTAAAGAGATATGACAGTTGTGGGCGGCGCCAGTCTCATGGACATCAATTGTCCTATATCACAGAACACTACAATGAGTCCTAATGTATAATGACTCTGTTTGATCCACTGTGATTGTTATAATCAATTAACATGTTTGATATAATAATAATTGAAATGAGTTTCCTGACATGTCATCTGACTTGAGAGGATGAACTGGAACTCAGCCTCTGAAGTCAGAGGGACAAGTCCTCTCGGCTCAAGCCAGTTGTATGTATAATGGTGAAGATAACTCATCAAGAAACATCTTACCAAAAATAACCAAAAGACAGAGGATAATTCACTTTCACTGTACATTTAGAATGTCAGACAGAAATAAACTGTCTGGATTTTTTTTTGAAGTTTAAGTACCAATCCAGAAATAAAACACCTTTCCTGTGACAGTATGTGTATAATGGTGAATCTGATATGTATTGTGACTTCCAGGTGATATATCATTGTATAGAAGTTTATGTTTTATCACTAGGTTTTTTCACTACTTTGTAAATAAGGCCCATGTATGGCTTTGGATGACATCAGCAAGATTTTTAATACACAGTATTTGTTAGCATTCACTTAAGATTCTCTTAGTTGGGATTGGGACAATTGTTAAGAGAATGGGGTCAATATTTGGCCCTAAATCCCGCCTCAAAAAGCTCTATTTTATATTTTAAGTTTTACATTTCAAATATGAATAAATATAAACTAAAGCAAAATGATGAAAACCTATAGGTTGCAATAGATATATGGTTAGATTGGTAGGAAAAGGAAACTAGTTATTCCACTGCACTTTTGATTATGTGTAATTTTTGAAAATCTCTTTACAAATATTCCTGCCAAGATATTTAAAAAAGAAATGCTGTGAAAGAAAAGTGAATATAACACTGATTAATCAAGAACTTTTTGTTTTTGTAGTATTTGACAGAAGATATTGTCTCTGGAACGATAAGACTGGAGAAACCAGAAGACCTCCCTATGATCTGGCTGTAGGAATCCTGTCATCAAGGGATCACTTTGAGGCCCGTGCAGCCATCCGAGACACATGGCTGAAGGAACTGAATACCAACAGAAGGTAAGGTTTTCAATTAAATAACAAAGAAAGTTATTTCTATTTCCTTTGCCTTAGAATGTTTGAATGTATTCATATGTACATTAAATAGTTAAGACAATTTAAAGTACTGTTGAAGTTTGGGACTCATTCTGTATGTATAACCAGCATGTGTAAAAAGTTTTCACATAATAAAACGTTTTTTTTCCGGGATGGAGCTTTCATTGGTTATAATAACAAGCAATGCTTCATGTAAAAAAAACTATAAAGTCAATCAAAATACAAAATCTCATCAATACACTGATATGGCATATAAATAATTAACTACATTAGGCGGTACATTGTATTTCATTTTTTTGTATGCATTATAATGGTGCTTTCAAATGTTTTCATATAAGTAAAATTAAAAGTTATTACACTATTGTATATTACACTCAATCAAAGATATTTTTTGTTAGATTTTTTTACAACAGAAAATAAGAAACCATATCGTTCCATTGTGATCAGCTTAATTGTCAACTGATGACAAATGTGTTTGGTGTATATATGAAGGAAAGTTTGGGCTATGGTTTAACTTTGTTATCTGTTTTAGGTTTTTGTTTTTGTTTTTGTTTACTCATGCAGATATTTTAAAAAGATTTCCTGCTTTGGGTTTCAAATTTTCCAAATGAACAATATAGATGTTTTAATAGAAAATTATTTCACCAAGCATGTTTGTGATTTTTAGGGGGCGTGGCTGGTTTGTGATTGGAGACACAGATTGTGACCTTCACCCAGACAACAGAGAAGACCAGTACTGCTGTAAGGAATGGAAAGTGGCTGCTCCAGGTGGGTGTACATTAAACCTTGATATATCTAGCCAGTCCTAGGAACTTTTATGTGGTACTATTCAATAATTACAGCTTCAGTATCGTAAGTCAAACCGTGTAATTTTGAAATTTTGGATTAACAAGAAGTTCAATATATTTGTGTTAAAATTCACAAAAATAAGGCTCTATAGGACCACACATTAATTTTAAGATAGACAGGCCTGATAATTTAGATATCAAAGTTAATTCCTTTTTTTGTTGTTGATTTTTCTTTCAAGTTTTCGTACTTTCAAGTGATTAACTTTTCATTGACTTGAATTTATAACTTGAAATAAATCTGCCCAATTAGATTTAAGAAGCAATATTCATGTATTTAAGACTTTGTTTTTAATTTTTTAAGTGAAAAGTGAGGATGTCCAGGTTGTTACCACAGAAAAAGTGTCTGTAAATGTACAGCAGTCGAGGATGGACAGAAAACCTGTTCAGGTGTTACATTTCAAGGTGAGTCTGAACATTATGTAGACTGCGACTACTTAGCTTTAATTGTGGAGCGAGTTAATAAGGAACTGATTATCAAGACAAGAAAACAAAAAACAAAACATGATTGGATGCTTGCAAGAGTTACCTCTCTTTAATCATCTCGGGAGGAGCTTTACAGTACACCTACAATACTTGTATCACCAAAATTGTACAAAATAGACCTGGAGTAGGTAATAGCCATGTGAAGCGGACGTAAAACCTATCAATCAATCAATCAGGTAATAGCCATAGTTTTCTCTGGCCATGACACCAGGCTAAGACATTTTGACAGATAGACGTCATCAGATATTTATCTGTTAAAATGTCTTAGTCTGGTGTCAGGGCCAGACGAAATTTGGGCTAGAGCAGGTAAGAGAATAGTGCCCTTTATAGCAGGTAAGAGAATAGTGCCCTTTATGCAGTGGTCATTGCAATAGCAGGATTAAATTACCTTTGCATATATGCAGAGGTTTCCCACACTATACTTTATGTAATTTACAAATTACCCAAAGAACGGATAATTTTAATGCAAACATTTTTTTTTGACAAATAGGAAAAAGGTACCTATTTTCAATTGGGAATGGGTTCTTTTCCTGAACTTAATCTGATATTATGCAATGATAATCAAATTACCAAAGCATTTAATACTTCATCCATCAGGTAATGTGATAACCTCTAACCTTCTATGATAACCTCTAACCTTCTGTGATAACCTCTAACCTTCTGTGATAACCTCTTATCTTTAGGTAATGCATCCGGTGATGGTCAGTCGGATCGGACTGTTAGATGGAGTTTTGGTAAACAACTCGGCCATCCAAGTGTCACTGCACGACCGCTCCACAGAGGTGAGTTACACCGAGTCATGTAAAGAAAGTGTTGAGTACCATTATATCTTCATTGATGTAATATATATAGAGAAATTAACTGTTATTTTCCTGGTAATTGTAACATTATTATGACTGAAATTAGTGGAAAATATGTCAAAAGTTTGAGTTCTTTGTGAAATACTTTTTAACAATGCAAATACATGTTCTGTAATAATCAGAATCCAAGATTTCTATGTTCAAAAGAATGGAAAAAGTATGAAATGTATGTATGTTTAGTTTTAACATAAGTGTATATTGAGTTGTAAAATGAGTGTATGTTGAGTTGTAAAATGAGTGTATGATGAGTTGTAAAATGAGTATATGATGAGTTTTAAAATGAGTGTATGTTGAGTTGTAAAATGAGTGTATGATGAGTTGTGAAATGAGTGTATGATGAGTTTTAAAATGAGTTTATGTTGAGTTGTGAAATGAGTGTATGTTGAGTTTTAAAATGAGTGTATGATAAGTTGTAAAATGAGTGTATGTTGAGTTGTAAAATGAGTGTATGATGAATTGTAAAATGAGTGTATGTTGAATTGTAAAATGTGTGTATGTTGAATTGTAAAATGAGTGTATGTTGAGTTGTAAAATGAGTGTATGTTGAGTTGTAAAATGAGTGTATGCTGAGTTGTAAAATGAGTGTATGTTGAAATATTTACATTCGCTCCCATTGAAGCTGTGTAAACCGTGACTGCGTATACATTACCGTATACGCAGTGAGATTCCTTGGAGACCATTGTTTCCTATTGATGACGTAATTTACATTGTGACATCATAATGGTAACGTTGGAGATCCATCGCTGCTCGCAGGCTGTAGGCTGTTCATTTGTTTGGATTTACGCACGTTACGGAGGCTTTGTACCATTATAAAAGCAAATGTATTGGAGTTAGCTTTATTCTGAGTGTACCATCATAGTACAAAAATATGTAAATATAAGAATTGATCTTCAGTTTGACTGCGTATACAGTAGTATGAACGCAGTCAAAATGAAGGTCAATTCTTAATTGTAAAATGATTGTATGTTGAATTGTAAAATAAGTGTATGATAAGTTGTAAAATGAGTGTATGTTGAGTTGTAAAATGAGTGTATGTTGAATTGTAAAAGGAGTGTATGATGAGTTGTAAAATGAGTGTATGTTGAGTTGTAAATGAGTGTACGATGAGTTGTAAAATGAGTGTATGTTGAGTTGTAAAATGAGTGTATGTTGAGTTGTAAAATGAGTGTATGATGAGTTGTAAAATGAGTGTATGTTGAATTGTAAAATGAGTGCATGTTGAATTGTAAAATGAGTGTATGTTGAATTGTAAAATGAGTGTATGATGAGTTGTAAAATGGGTGCATGTTGAGTTGTAAAATGAGTGTATGATGAGTTGTAAAATGGGTACATGTTGAGTTGTAAAATGAGTGTATGTTAAGTTGTAAAATGAGTGTATGATGAGTTGTAAAATGAGTGTATGTTGAATTGTAAAATGAGTGTATGTTGAATTGTAAAATGAGTGTATGTTGAATTGTAAAATGAGTGTATGATGAGTTGTAAAATGGGTGCATGTTGAGTTGTAAAATGAGTGTATGTTGTAAAATGAGTGTATGTTGAGTTGTAAAATAAGTGTATGTTGAATTGTAAAAAGAGTGTATATTGAGTTGTAAAATGAGTGTATGTTGAATTGTAAAATAAGTGTATGACGAGTTCTTGAAAAAAAGTGTCATATGTTCTACAATTTCGTTTGTGGAATTAGTTGTAATAAAATTAGTGTTTATTGTGTTGTAAAATGTGTGAGCGATGAGTTGTAAAATGTGAGTGATGGGTTGAATCGCTACATTTTTTATTTTTTTGTGTATATAATGTCTTATTAACAGCTATGGTCATTTAAAGATGAGCCATGTTTGGGTGATACAGCTTTGGGGAACCATGGCCATTTTCCAGGATAAACAGTTTATATTCTTATTACCTAATAAGGACCTTGCTTGTACTGCTCATTATGCAATATTATGTCATATTACTTGTTTATCACTATTTTGCATTGCGTAATAAAGCCATGGTTATTCAGTCACCCAAACCTACTTCTTGTTGCATTATTTCCCACCGAAAACAATGACTGATTTAAGGATGAGCCAGGTTTTGGTGGTAAAGAAAAACCAAAGTGCCAGGTGGAAAACCACTGACTTGCCGCCAGTACCTGGCAACAGCCTCAAGTAGGCCTTGCACCTTTGACCTATTGGTGGATGGCTAGTGATCGTAGACAGTCAGATGCCCTAACCGCTTGGCAACAGCAGCCCCCCTTTGCTGTAAATTTCTGTAAATCAGTTGTGTGATGAGTTGTAATATTTGTGTGTATAAATATATAGTTATGAAATCTTTGTGTGAGATGGGTTGTAGAATGTTTGAAGGATGGGTCATTAACTAATCGTACTTGGTGAACCGGCCATGTCTGCACCAGGCGAGTTTTACAGACCCTATATGCTTATGGTGTATATTAACAGACAAGAACACAAACAAAGAACCTCCTGAAGCACTGAGAATAGACCATTGTAACAAACTCCTTTTGTCCTTGCTCAGACCTCTTCATATCAGTCCCGCTGTTGATTGTAGACACAAGACACAATTTGTATAGGTGTTGTGTAGCTTCATACAGCCTCTGGTGACTATTAGCACTCTCGTACATTGACTTGTATACATCGACACCTTCAGTTATGTGGGATCTGATCGACAAGGCTATATTTCCGTTAATGATGACATAACTGAGCCATCTCCTCTCTAGGGTGTACTGTAATTGTTATCTTGCATTATGTGTAGCGTCATCAATTTTACATTGTCACCAAATATTTCTCATTCCCAAGTTCTGTCATAGTTACAGAGATAATGAGAGGCACTTGTACTCCTTCTAAAAGGAAATTAAAATGGGAATATCGTAAAACAAGTCTCTTTCATATATTTTTTAATTTTTTATTTCAGTTATAATAATTTTCATTGGTTTGTTAAGATGAGTGATGCTGACACTAGAACTGGGGATGGTGTCAATGTGGACTGTGATGACACCTTCCATATCAACTTTACCGTGCAATGGTTTGTTAAGGGAATGCTGACACTAGTACTGGGGATGGTGTCAATATGGACTGTGATGACATCTTCCATATCAACTTTACCGTGCAATGGTTTGTTAAGGGAATGCTGACACTAGTACTGGGGATGGTGTCAATATGGACTGTGATGACACCTTCCATATCAACTTTACCGTGCAATGGTTTGTTAAGGGAATGCTGACACTAGTACTGGGGATGGTGCAATGGTTTGAGTCAGTTTTAGCAAAGCAGCATCAAGGGGTGGGACCCAGGTTACAGCTGGAGGGAGTGGCATTTTTCCTTCATTAACTCATTCACACCTGAAGACACATTTGGACTCTTCCAATTCAAAGGTTGGAATAGTTCATTATGAAATCTCAAGGGTGAATGAATAAATGCTATACCGTTCAAGGTCAAATCTACCTCACTACAATGTGTGTCTCATCAGTCATGGTCAATTCTATATTTACCAGTAAAATGTAATATTACAGTCAAAAAACAAACAAATCCCATGTTATACCATTCAAGGTCAAATCTACCTCATCACAAAGTGTGTCATACTAGTCAAGGTCAATTCTATATCTACCAGTACAATGATATATATGTACCTGTCAAAAGTGTAACAATTAAATCCCATGTTATACCAGTCAAGGTCAACCTACCTCACTACAATGACAGGGTTCTCCCCAGATTTTTTTTAAGCTGATATGTTTCATTTAACACATTATGTGTGTAATACTACTCAAGGTCATTTTTATATTTACCTGAGTACAATGTAATATATGTACCAGTCAAAACTCATACCAACCCTGTGTTATACCATTTAAATCAAATATACCTCACTACAATGCATATAAGGCACAGCTGAGGCACGGTAGTCTAGTGGTAGGACGCCAGGATCGTGACCGAAAGGATGGGTGTTTGAGTCACGGCACTACGTTGTATCTTGTTCAAGTCTACACAGCTGAGTACGTGGTTGGGCAGTGCTAGAATTGTTTAATGCTAGCTGTGAGCGCCAAAATGGCAGCTCCGGCTGTCACATAATGCTCCCCAGGGAGTTGAGAAAGGTATTGGCTGGTTGCAATGGCCCTATATATAACCACGGATAATAATTTGTGAAACGCTTTGAGACGACCTACGAACAAGGTTGTGCTAAAGCTGTATATAAGAACCTCAAATTATTATTATTATATAACTGTGAAATTTAAAATGTTTGTGGGGTTTGTAATTTCTTATAATTAATTTAGTGGATAATCTTAACTAACAAATTCATAGGTCCACAAAGTTATTTCAAGTTTGACATAAAACAATTCTTCATTTGGGACACTCGTAATCCAAACATTCATATACAGTACCTACAAAATGGTGTTTGTCGGGAAACCATGAAAAAAAATAAAAATATAGGATTTCACAGTACCAGCATGTCATTTGATTGAAGAACAATTTAGCATGGCCAAATACTTCTGCAGCTTTCTGAAGGAGATGTGTATATTGTTTCCTTAAATCAGACAAATGGCGCCCAATCCAAGGCTTGTGCAGTAATAAATTGATTATTGTCATTATAGAAGGTTTGGTATTCATGAGTAAAAAATCATTGACACCTGATAAATTTCTCGATCATTGTTTGCAAGGGGCAGTGAGGAGACAGCATCATTACAGCTAGATTTATCAATGAATACCACTGGGTATGTGATCCCTACGAATGTCGGTTTGATGAGTAGCTTGTAATCCTTTGTGGAATGGATGTAATGGTGATCCTACGACATTCCCCGACTTGTTCATACTTATGGCTCTAGCTGTAGCCAAGAAAATTACATTTTTGATTTGCTATGAAATGGAAACGAAATTCCAATGATACTATTGGCCTTTTTTCTATTAAAGTAATCGTGGATTTGTGAAGAACTCGATAGGTGTTAG